AAAAAAAAAAAAAAAAGAAGGACAGGTTCCAACAAGCCCAGATGATGAAAATTAAAATAAATAACTAACCCTTCAATGCTCAGACATCAGTGAACATCCACAAACATTAAGAACATCCAGGAAGATGTGACCTGACCAAATTAACTAAGATAAGAGTGATCAGTCCCAGAGTGATGGAGACAGATGACCTTTCAGACACAGAATTCAAAATAGCTGTTTGACAGATGGAGGCTAGTTCCCTTGGGGCCCTCTGCTCTTGGTGGCAGTTGTGTTGTCCCTGCCCTACAGACACTCATACCTTCCAAGCCCTTGCTATGGCTTACCTCTGGCCTGGAAGCAGCGGTGAACCTCTCTCTCAACCCTATCTCGGTGACCTGATGACATGGCAGCCTCTTCATGGCCAGACTCCACCAGCCCATGGGTCTCCTGGCTCAGCCCTGCTGAGCCTAGGTGAAGACACAGCCAAGTATCCAGGAGCCACCTTTGAGTGGTGGCAGGTATGCCAGGGCAAAAAAAGTGGCAGTTACTTGAATGCCACCAAGGGCCAGTTGGAGTTTGGAGAGTTTTCTGTATGCACTGAACACTGGAGCACACAGACATATAAAGCAAATATTAGCAGAGCTGAAGAGAGAGAAACTCCAATACAATAATTGTTGAAGCCCTCAACACTCCATATTAAGTGCTGCACTGATCATTCAGATAGAAATTCAACAATGAAACATTGGACTTAATCTTCACCATAGACCAAAAGCACCTAATAGATATTTACAGACTGTTTTACCCAGTAGCTGCAGTATTTTCATTCTTCTTCTCAGGTCATGGATCATTCTCAAGGATAGACCATATGCTAGACCACAAAACAACACTCAAAAAATTTAAAAATCTGAAATCATACCCAGTATTTTCTTTGATCCTAACAGAATAAAACTAGAAATCAATAACAAGAAGAAACTTGGAAAATATACTGATACATGGAAAAAAATATGCTCTTGGGGCAACACCTGTGGCTCAAAGGAGTAGGGTGCCGGCCCCATATAACAGAGGTGATGGGTTCAAACCCGGCCCCAGCCAAAAACTGCAAAAAAAAAAAGGGCAGCACCTGTGGCTCAGTGGGTAGGGCGCCGGCCCCATATACCAAGGGTGCCAGGTTCAAACACGGCCCCAGCCAAACTGCAAACATAAAAGAAAAAAAATAGCTGGGTGTTGTGGTGGGC